GTGTTATCGTGTACCTCGTGGCTGCCTGGACCTGTCATATACACTTTCAGTTACGGGTTCAGATAATTCCTCATGCTTATCGGTAAAACACTTTCAGGTGCCGTTGTGACACATACACACATACAACATTATCTGTATTATGAACAACTTAAAAAAAATGCTGTAAAATGTTTTTTAACTGCTCCTACTTTTTCTATTCAGTTAAAAAAAATTTTTGCAATTGAAGAAAAATCGAAAAAATCGTGAATTATAAAAATAAGCCGAAACCGAGGCCGAAACAATGAGTCAACAAAATTTTATACTAAATTAAAAAAAAAATACTAATTCTACTAAATTAGAAAAATTAAAAAAAAATTAGGAAACAAAAAGCAAACTAGAACAGACTCCGGAACACAACGATTATTAATATTTCAAATAGAATTATTATAATTCAACTATTTTTGATACCTCCAAACATAAAATCACATTTGATAATCTAATTTATATCAATAAAGTAAAACGTGAACTGTCACTTACAATTAGATTCGAATAAATTAACCATCGATTAGAGTTATATTCGAACGAAAGTTATATTAAATTAACGAGCCACATCCGATTACAATATTCATTCAATAGAACTTATACTCAACTGAAATATATTATTTATAATCGACCCTAGTAACGAGTAATTAAAAATAAACTTTCATTAATATTTATTTTAGAAAAAATAATATTAATATTTATTTTAAGAAACAAATATTAATATTTATTTTAGAAAAAATATTCACAAATATTTTTTTCTCACTCAATATTTTGAGAAAGTCGACAAATACCGTACTTCTAATTAATCAAACTTTGTTTTCGACTGAAAAGAAATATCCGTCGACTTTCCATCCGAAATTACATTAATTGCAAAAAGGAATGAGATCCAATTTAAGCTAAATTGTTCCAGGTGGAATAAAACCGGAATTAAAAAGTTTCGAATACTCCGGGAATGATAAAATGTATAAGTAACGCCGCTAGAATTGTGAATCACAAGTGTTTTTTTTATATTATACGAGAAAACTCTTGGTTAGATATATTCGTAAAAAAATGCGAAAATAAAATAAATTTCATCACGACAGTGAAAAAGTGTTTTTACATAACAAATCACCGATTTCCTATATCAAATGTCATTTTCATGAAACAAACGTATACACGTTTATTTATATAAATTACAATAATATGTGATTATTATTATTTATTGGATTTATAAATAAAAATCGTATTTTCAATTCGTACGATAAATAAATAAAATAAATAAAAATAAATAAAATGGACATAAATAAATAAAATAAATAAAAGAAATAAAAAGAAATAAATGGACATAAATAAATAAAACAAATAAAAAGAAATAAAATGGACATAAATAAATAAAATAAATAAAAAGAAATAAAACAAGCATAAAAAATATACAAAAAGAAATAACCAAATAAAAATTTCAGAATAATTCAATTTCTTCGAAGAATTTGATTATTTATAAAAAAAAATTGAATTTTCGCGAAAGATTTTATTAAAATTTTTTAAAAAATTCTTTTTGAAGAGTTTCTTTAAATTTTTTTAAGTTTGTTAAAATAATCGTGTTTCTTAATAATTGAAAATAAAGATTTAATTATTGAATTTTATTAAAACACTTTTTTAATTCATTCAAGAAAATTTATTAAAATATAAAAAAAAATTAAATTCTTTAAAAAAAATTTCTTTAATTTATTGAATATAATCGATTTTGTTTATAATTGTAATTAATCTTCACTATTAAAATTTTATTAAAATTATTGATAGAAAGTTAAACTTTTTTAAAAAATTTTATTAGAGTTTTTGTAAATAATTAAATTCTTTTGAAGAATTTTTTAAAGTTTTTTTTAAAAATAGTACAATTCCAGTATTTTTCAAAATAATTAAATTTTTTCAAAGAATTTTACTAGGGGAACATAGTCTAGGTCGGCCACCTTTTTGACTTTTGTTTATAACTTTTTTTTAAAAATGAATTTGGACAATTGAAGTATATGGTTGGAAAGTCCTGTTTAATAGGAACATTTTTTCTGTACAAAGTAAATTGACAGGTTTAAAAATGAAAAAGTTATAAAGATTTAAAAAAAAAAAATTTTGTAGTCCAGGTTGGCCATTACAGTCAAGGTCGGCCATGTTTAAAATTCAAAGGGCATTAATCGTTAAAAAATAAAATAACATGTTTGGAGTTACGGAAAATTGATTCTTTATTGTTTACAGTTTGTAACTTAATGAAATAACAAAATAATAACAATAAACAATATAAAAAAATAAATATAAATAAAAAAAAGTTTTGCACTAAAATATTAATAAAATTAAATAAAAATATTAATAAGATGATCAATTATATTATGAGTTATACAGAATTGCAGTTTTTGCAAATGAAGTAGCTCGTCCTCAACTTTGCGCATTTTAAACACATAGTGGCCGACCTTGACAGTAAGTAACATTACCGAATTGTTGTAAACAAAAAGAAATACGTTTCGGGATTCGATTTTTTACTTTGTTTTCCTTTCAACCATGAGTCCCACAAATTTTCTGCATACTTGCCTTGACGATTCAATTTGTTTTTTATCTTTTATTAATGGTTTTTCACATTATGCACAAAACTTTTTTTGAGCTTTTTTTGTACCGACGTCACAGAAAACACAATTTTCGATTTTCCGAAAATGTAATTGAACAAAAAGTTAGGTTTCACTAAGACAAGCTTCGACAAAAATGCGCGTAGGTGGCGCTAGTGAACTTGACAAAAAAACGCGAGTGGCCTACCTAGACAGTAGGCCAACCTTGACTACATTCCCCTATTTATAAAAATAATTTAATTGTTTTGAAGGATTTATTATATTTTTAGAAAATAATTAAATTCTTTCGTGAAATTTTATTGAAAATAATTGAAGTTTTGCAAAGAATTTTACTATTTAAAGAAACAATTGAATTGTTTTGAAGGATTTACAAAAATTTTAGAAAATAATTGAATTCTTTACAGAAATTTTATCAAAACAATTGAATTTTTTCAAAGAATTTTACTATTTTTAAAAATAATTGAATTGCTTCGAAGGATTTATTAAAATTTTAGAAAATAATTAAATTCTTTTGCAAATTTTTAAAACGAATATTGAGAAAAAAATTAAATTTTTTCTTGAAATTCTCCGGAAAATAATTGATTTCTTTTGGAAATTTTTTAAGCGAATTAAGAAAAAAATGTAATTCTTTCCTTAAAATTTTTTTGAAAATAATGAATCTTTGCAAAGATTTTACTATATAAAGAAATAATTGAATTCTCTGGAGAAAATTTATTAAAATTTTGTTGAAAATAATTGAATTTTTGCAAAAAATTTTATTATTAAAAAAAATAATTGAATTTTCCCGAAGAATATTATTATTTATGAAAATAATTAAATTCTTGCAAAAAAATTAAAATTTCTGAAGATATAAACAATAATAATGAACTATGTACTTAATAAATTAATTTTTTAAATTATGATTATTTTTTTTTTATTCAAAAAATTGTAATTGGAAATAAAAAATTTTGTCATTTTCATAATATTAATAATTATTTGTAATTTATTTATTATTGTAATTTATATTATTCACTTCATAACTAAAACGAAATGATTTTGAATAGTTACAATACTTCATGTAATCTATTTGTTTCACTTCGTTTGCGAGAGAATTTTCATGCCATCTAGGCGGCAGTTTAAAGAACTTTTGGCGCGAAATTCAAAAAACGAAAAATGTAATTAACAATATATTAATATAAAATAATATTAATTAATATTAATTAATATTAACAATATATAATTAATTAATTAATTTCTATGAAATTCTTCACTATTCTCCGGTATTTTCTTTCAATTTAAATATTATTTCCATAGAAACATTGCAGAACTGATATTTTTCTTTAAATGAACAAATTAGAATTTTTTAATTATTCCCATGATAATTATAATATTTTACTTATAGTATATAATTATTTATATTTTAATATATTTACTTACGAAATAAACTCGACAGGAAAAATATGTTGTTCAACTCACCTGAAACAAAAAAATACTTTATATTAGAATTATTATCAAAAAAAATAAATAATGAAAAAAAGGAATAATTTCTATTAACTAATTCTGGGAAATTACTTCTATTAATTAATATTAAATAATAATTTACTAAAAAATTATTAATTAATTATTTAATTAACTAATATTAATTACTTGTTAGTTTATTAATTATAATTATAAAAACATTGTGAGTCATGTACTCTATTCGCTTCATTTCGTTTGTGAGAGATTTTTCATGCCATCTAGGCGGCAGTTTAAAGAACTTTTGGCGCGAAATTCAAAAAAAGAAAAATATTAATAACAATATAGGAATATTAATAATACATTTTTATTATTATTATGATTATTATTAATATATTGTTATTATTATCAATAATACATTATTTTAATTAACAATATGAAAACTATTAAAAAAATAAATATAAAACAATATAAAAAATTATTTTTTGACTTGTAGGGAATAAAATCTTTCCTTTTAAAATGATTTTCCAAAATTAAATCACAAAAAATTATTGAAAGCATCGAAACTAAAATATTTTCTCAATCCAATAAACGTGAGAATGAAAATCAGTTATACAAAAAAATTAACGAATTGACTCATAAAAATTAAAACTCCATCATCAGCAGTAATGAATCGATATTAAACGACTTTCACTAAAATAAGCATTTTTAACTTTCGAAATAATCAATTAACAGCTGATATTTAAAACCAACTTATTCCCTCTTTTTCTCTTTTTCTCTCTTATCAGAACTTGAAAATTAAAATTTATTTCCCAAATTGAAGAAAAAAAAAAATTTCCTTTTTCGGCGGAAATGAAATAAATTCCGAGATGGGTCTAAGATGCACTGTTACGAGAATACATGTATAGGGGAAGTACCGGTTAGGATGGAAAGCTCATGGCGTGTAAAGAGTGCGAGTTGGATCAGTCTCTCGCGGACTTTCGACAGTGAACATTCTATATATTTTGCGGAAGCTCCAAAATCGATCACTATAATACATCGATGAAATAATAAATCGATCATTGTTTTATTAATTCTTTCTCCAAATCAAAGTTTGTGTACTTAAGAAAAATTTATAAAATTATATTAACAATTTTTTTTTATTTTTCATTCATGTGAATTAAAAACATCGAAAAGTGTCAACGAAAAGTTGCGATAAATAATGTGGACCATTTTTCATGTGCTTTTAATAATTCCATTTCGAACATTATCGTCAGTGTGATTTAAAGTTTTAAAAGTTCATCAACGAAAAAAACCAAAAAAAAGAAGGAAAATGAAAATTTTGATCATTCTCATGTGCCTAACAGGTACAGTTTAATTTTACCACGTGCTTTTATTTTTTAGGAAAAATTGTTTTAAGTTACGAATGTTTATTACTCTGAGTAATTTTTTGTTATTTCTGTTCTGAAAGGAAAATGAATTTTATGTTAGGATATTGAATTTTCCTCAAGTGTTGCAAGTCAAATACGGATATTTTTCCCTTAAATTTGAAAGTTCAAAAGTTTCAGTTAATACATTTTTAATTAAATTTTTATCAGTATTTAGTGAAAGGAATCTCTAAATTTTAATTAGAGAAAATTAAATCACTAATTTGGTAAGAATTTTGTATTTTTTACTAATTTTTAATCATTCTTCACTGGAAATTTAAAATCAAAAAAATAAAAACTGCTAAACAAAAATAGTAATATTTTCTCACTAATTTCCACTGGTAAAAATTTCTACTAATTTTTAATCACTTTTCCCTAAAACTTCAGTTAGAAAAATATAAACTACTAAATAAAATAGTAATATTTAGTCACTAATTTCTAATAGTAAGAATTTTTTATAGTAGAAAAAATTAAAACTACTAAATAATAACTACTAATATTTTGTCACTAATTTAAAATAGCAAAAAATTTTACTAATTTTAATCAATTTTGACTAAAAATTTGTAGTAAAAAAATTAAAAATACTCACTAGAATAATATTTGGTCACTAATTTAAAATAGCAAAAACTTTTACTAATTTCTAGTCATTTTTGACTAATTTTAATCAATTTTGACTAAAAGTTTGTAGTAAAAAAATTAAAAATACTCAACAGAATAATATTTGGTCACTAATTTAAAATAGCAAAAACTTTTACTAATTTCTAGTCATTTTTTTACTAATTTTAATCAATTTTGACTAAAAGTTTGTAGTGAAAAAATTAAATCCACAAAACTAATTAAATTCAAAAAATATAAAAAAAAATTTGGAAGCTGATTATTACTGCCAATTATTTATATTTTTAAATATTTTCAATTACTTTTGGTCTTAAAATTGAAAAGTATTTAATAAATTATTTACCAATATATTTTATAATAATTATAATATAGAATATAAAAATATAAAAATTGTTGTATTAAATTATAACTTTAAACTTTAAAAAACCTTAAACACTACAAATTATTCATTCAGTCAACATTCTAAAAACAATTTCATCAAAATTATAAGTATGACAAAATAAAAAAAATTTTCAGGTTAAAAAATTAGCGAAAGAGAATAAAACAAACATTTAGATAAAGAAACTAAAATTAAACAAGAGATAACGCTCATTTTCTAAAGGAATTTTCTAAATATCTCCACATCGTCTAAAGACCAATTTCTTTAGAATTTTTAGAAAAAATACTATTGACCTCTGCCACGTGCAAAAAAAAGAAACCATTTCAAAAATCAATAAACAGTCAAAATTCGAATTGATTCTCTCCCCCTCCCCCTTCTCTCTCACCCAGTCACGAATAAATAAAAGGTCAGCATTTTTAATTCGCGAATTATTATCCAAAAAGTCCTGGGGTTCTATATATGGCAACATCAAAGAAAGTGCAAACACTATAAAATGAAAGATAAACATCTCTGGGTAAAGTAATTAAATTGGTGCAACGCCATCATGTTTGTATTTGGAGTTTTATATATGTGAACAAAATTTGATAACCAACTATAACTCTCAACTAAAATAACTTTTTCAAACTTATTCGAGAAACAAAAATATTTCTAGTTTAATTGTTTCATTCTATTTCTTTTATTGTTATCACGAGCAAACAATGTGTGAACGACACAAAAAAAAGAAATAAAATCAAATGTCAAGAGAAAAATAGGCGATGAAAATACTGTACAAAATCCATAAAATGAAAACTACAATCAAGTTTCAATTTCTAATTTTATCGCTGCGCTGTTCTCAATAAATTTTTGTATCAAAAAAATTTTAATTTTATAAATGGATATTATTATTGAATTTATTAATAATCTTTATTAGGATCAAAATTTATTGATATTAAATATTACTTTTTAGTATCAATATTTACTAGTAGCAATATTCATTAATGTCAATATTTACTAGTAATAATATTTATTATTATCAATACTCATTACTATTAATATTAATATTTATTACTATCAATATTTATTACTACCAATACTTATTACTATTAATATCTACTAGTATCAATATTTATTAATTTTAATATTAACTAGTATCTTGTTTATTAATATCAATATTTACTAGTAATAATATTTATTACAATCAATATTTATTACTATTAATATTTCCTAGTATTAATATTTATTACTATAAATAGTTGTAAATAGTAATATTTACTAGTATCAATATTTATTACTATTAATATTAATATTTACTAGTAATAATATTTATTACTAACAATATTTATTAAAAGTAATATTTATTACTATTAATATTTATAACTATCAGTATTTGTAAATATTAATATTTACTAGTGTCAATATTTTTTAATAAAAATATTTATTAATAGTAATATTTACTAATAGTAATATTTTCTAATATCAACATTTAAATTGCGAATAAACTACAGAAAGTCAATTAACTAAATTTTTAAAATCTATATACGATTGATGCATTAATACTGAAACAATTGACTACACTGTTCGCGGGAGAAAACATTAGAAGAACATTAATGAATATGATCAGTTCAAGGAACTGAAGTAGATGGATTAAAGAAGATCAATATAATAATTATCTAATCTTGGACAATATTGAAAAATAAAAATTCACGATTCATTTAGAAATAATACTGAAATTTTTAAATTCTATTAACAGTATAGTATTTGATGTCATATTGCGCAGTTAAACAATCACTGATTAAATAGACGAAAATCACTCTCTGTTTACTAAAGCGAAATTCTATTTTTTGCTGATTGAAGATTCTGAATAAATTGCTACTGGTGCTACACACTATCTTCCCTTATCATCACTTTGCAATCTGATTCGAGATAATTTTTAATGATTCTGAGAATAGCGATGTCACAAAAATTCTTCATTTTTACATTTCTTTCTCTCTCTCTCACTCTCTGTTTCTCTGTTTCTCTGTTTCTTTCATCAAACTTTGAGTAAATACATTTCTTCTGGGTATTACATTTGTCGCCTATATATTTACTTTTTAATTAAAAAACGAATTATTTCTTGAAATAAATTCAACTAGTAAAAAATAAAAAAATTATTTGCTAGTAAATTACTGATAAATTTAATTTTCTAGTAATCTAGAAGTAAACTTAATTTACTTGTAATTTACTGGTAAATTTAATTAAGTGATTTAATTTACAATATTAAACTTACTTTTTATTTATTTTTTAAACCTACTATTTATTTACTAGTAAATAACTGCTAAATAATTTAATTTACTAGTAAATCAGTACTAAATAATTTAATTTACTAGTAAATCAATACTAAATAATTTATTTTGCTAGTAATCACTACTACATAATTTAATTTACTATTAAACTACCACTAAACTGAATTTACTTGTAACTTACTACTGAATTTAATTTAGTAATTCAATTTATTATTTTAAACCTATTTTTTACTATTAAATTATTAGTAAATATAATTTACAAGTAAATCACTACTAAATTAAATTTTTTATTAAATTAACACTAAATTTAATTTAATAATTTAATTAAATAAATTTTAATTAGAATTTTAATTTACTATTTTTTACTACTATATTTTTTTTACAATTTACTATTTACTACTATACTACTAAATAAAATTTACTATAAAATTACTAATAAATTGAATTTTCTAGTAACTCACAACGAAATTTAATTTAGCAGTAATTTACTAGTAATTTTATTACTAAATTGAATTTACTTGTAAATTATTTAATTTCATTTTCACAATTACATTCACTACTAAAATATAATTTACAATCAGTGTGGTACTTTCCACATACTTTTAATTTGTAAATCAATTTAAAATTTACATTTAATTTTTTTTTTTTTTTTTTGTAATTATAAACATGTGTTTAAAATTTATTCCTAGTTGTATATATAAATAAAAACTATGATAGTGAAGATAAAACGTCTTAGACATTTTGCGTGCCTTCGTCACTTTACGACACATTTATTAATAAAGTAAAAATATCATAGATGAATCATAAGTTATTTTTTCTGTCACTAAGATTTCTATCAATAGGAATGTTATTCACCGATTAAGTAATTGTATTTAACTCGTCATTTCAGTTCAATTGATTAGTAACAGCTTTGAATTGCAATGCTACTTTATGGATTATTTTTTTTTAAATCATATTCGTTTAATACTTTTTAAATTGTTACAGAAATTAAAAGTAAGTAAGTCATTGAACAGAAACTGGTTATATTTAATTACAGTCTAGTATAATAATTATAAAATAATTGAATTATAATAAATTGAAAAACAATTAAATTTTAATAAATTGTAAAATAATTAAATTATAAAAAGTTTAAAAAATAATTAAATTACAAGATTATAAAATAATTAAATTTTAATAAATTTCTTGTACGCCAATCAAAAGATTCCTCTCATTTAATTTACAATACAATTATTATAATATTTAGTTTTATTTTTTATATATTTTCTTTATTTTTAATAAATATTATTAAAAATAATTAAAAAATGATTGAAAAATAAATATTATTTGTAGTACACGAGATTCTTTTTTTATAAACTTCAGACAGACATCGAGAGGTGATAAAAGTCTCCAAGATGTCTAGAGAGCGTTCGCACGATGGTCGTATTCTATAAGGGACTATAAAACGAGAAAAAAAATGTCCCCCAAGGCCCATAAATGTCCTATCTATATCATCGCGAATTCTATTTTTAAAAATCAAACCTATATTTCTTAAAAAAAAATTCCCATTATTATAAAATTGAAATGCTTGTTAAAAACAGCAACAATTATTACTGCTGTGGAAATATTTTAATTACTCAATATTTTCTTTTTCATTCATAAATTTAACTCTAAAGAAAAATTAAAACGAAAAAAAAATTGATAATGAG